TCTATTTGTTTATCATGGTTGGTCAAAATTCCTCTCTGTTCCCCCTCCTAAAGTCTATGAACCCCTAGTGAGAATGTTCAATACAAATCTTCGCTCTAGTAAGTCTGACAAGTTGGAATCCTTAGTGTTATAAGAGCGCATTGTTCTTGATTGTGCCATGTTTGATTCGATTTTCCAATGTAAATGTTCTTGTTTTCCCATGCTTTTTAAAAATTCTTGGCCTGATAATTTTGACATCACCTTTGATCAAGCAAAACAATGTATTGTTGAGTGTTCATCTGAATCCCTCCCGAACCAGTTAGGTCCAAGTGATGCTAGCTTTGAAACTCGTGTCCTAGCCCACATTATTGCAACTACTCTGCTCCCTTGTACTGTATCTTTCTCCACCTTATCTCAAAAGGATACTTTTCTTGTCTATTGTCTTGTGACCAAACTCAAGGTCAAACTGTCCTTCGGGGTCATAAATTTTATGGTTGAAAGTGTTGATGATCCTAGCAGTCTGCCCTATGGCATGGCCATCACTCACATTCTGGAAGTTCATAACATATCTATCTCTAATTATCCCTTCGTCTCAGTTTCAAAATCTTACAATTCTAGGGCGTCTGCTAGTATGGGATATGTGTGTGTGAAGGGCACCTGGGTTAAGAAACAGGAAGGTGAGGTCAAGCATGTTCAGCCTGATCCCAAGACCAAAGCCTCTGTTCCCCATCACAGCCTTAGTAATCCTGACCTTGCCGAGAAACTGACTGCCATTGACAACCAGCTGACCACCATCAGAGATCTTCTTGCTGCTACTCAGTCCACTGTTAGGGACATTCATGCAATCTCCAAAGAGACATGATCTGATGTTTCCAAGATAAGGGTTGCAATTCTCAAAGTTAGGGAAAATGCAGTCAAGGCATTCAAGGAAGTACACGACATGCTTGATGGAGTGACTATCTCAGCCAATGCTAGCTTTGAACAACTGAAGGAGGCGATTTGCAACATTTTACTTATTTCCTGTGTCGTTAGTGTGGAAGTTTCAAACAATTTTTTTGCTGTACTGTTTTGGACTGGATAACCAGTCGTTGGATGATTTTTTTTTCTTTTCTTATTTCGCTATAACTCTGCATGCATATAATTCATTTCCTGCTACAATTATGCTTTAGTATATTGGTGTTTTTTTATCCCCTCTTTGTTGATGTCAAAAAGGGGGAGAAGACTACTATCCATATATTCATGTAGGAACATTCATTGCAGGGGGAGTCGACTATAGATACTACAGGAGAAGTTGACTAAAGGACGTATTCCAAATGGCACATATTGAGGGGGAGTCAACTGCACTTATTGAGGGGGAGTAAAATATAGGGAAGTTAACTGATATTTACATATATTATTTTTTTGTCATCATCAAAAGGGGGAGATTGTTAGGTTTTAGTTTTAATAATGAAAAATAATATAATTGCTTTTGGTGTAGGGACTCAAAGGATCAAAGTGCATAAATAGAAATAATCGAAGCTGAAGGGAGAAATCAATCAAAGATTGATTGAAGCATCTTAAAGGAAAAGAAGCACTAAGAATCCGACAAGAAAATCAATCAGAGATTGCCCGAAGAGTTAAAAAGGAAACGAAGCATTAAAGATGGAAGGACCCAGATTTAAAGAGCAAATCCGGCGCTATCAAGGCCTGAAGATGGAAAACTATCAAAGTCCACACATCAAGGAAGAGTAACGGGAATTAACCTTATTCTTGGAAAGAATCAATTTCTTTCCAAGGACCAAATCTCTTGGGTTGGCAAATCTCTTCAGTAACGGTCTCCTACAAAGTATTTATACGCAACCTTAGGACTCAGAGATATATACTTGATCAAACCAATTACCCTCTCTTTGTTCTACTGCAAACAAACATTGGAGCTCTACTAGTTCTATTGTGTAACAAGTTAGAGAAGAAAGAGAGAAAAATATTAGCGAGGCATTGCATCGAGAAAAGACGAGTGATATAGAAACTGAGTTGTTGGTGTAAACTACACCATTCACTTTGTACTCAAGAAACTCAATCACTAAAAGAGAAATCCTTTGCAACCCGAGGGGACTGGACTAGGATTCACATTGAATCTCTACCAGTATAAAAACTCCGATGTCTTTTAATTCCTGCACTTTACTTTTGCATTTTAATTTTGCACATTTTGATATCTCGCTATTACATCTAGTCGACTGATTGAAAAACTAGTCAACTTATAACGATTAATTTTAAAGATAAAGCAATTCACCCTCCCTCTTGTACTTTCAAATATGGGTCATCTTACTTCATTTGATCATTCCATATTTTGATTAGACTCTCATTTTGAGTATTCTTATAATAGAGAGTTTTGTTATGTTAGTGTTGGGTAACATTTTGAGCGAACCTCTTCTTTGTGGGTGATTGTAGCGAGGTTATTCTCTTGGAATATATTTTGGGATAATTAGATTTTTATCTGTAATTTTGTACTTGTTTTCTGCCTATGATTCAATTGAAGGTGGAGTTGTCCAATTGAGTAACAATGCTACTTTCAACATTATTGGCAAATGTACAATTCAAATTAGAATGCATGATAGTGTGGTGAGAACTCTCATCGATGTTAGATATGTTCCTGAGTTGAAGAAAAATCTCATCTCTTTGGGCACTTTAAAATCTCTTGGGTGCAAATTCACTGCTGAAGATGGAGTTCTGCAAACTTTTCAAGGTGCTCTTGTGATCATGAAAACACACAGATCTGGTTCGTTGTATACTTTATTGAGATCTACTGTTATAGGCACTACTGCAGTTTCTGTATCAGACAACTTGTCTGATTTTGATGGCATTAAATTTTGACATAAGCCATTGGGGTTTTTGGGGATGTGGACAAAAATTACTATATCATCCAATTTAGGCCAAGATGGAGATTTGTAAAACATGGCCTAAATTTGTCCATGGTTAATCTTGGAGCAAAGCAAACTTGGAGCCAAAGCATTCTAGCTTGGAGCCAAAGAATAAAAGTATTTTCTTTTATTCTTTTTCTTTATTTGGGGATTAGGAACTTCGCCCTATAAATATGGGTCATCTTACTTCATTTGAATCATTCCGTATTTTTATTAGAAACTCATTTTGAGTATTCTTGTAATAGAGAGTTTTGTTATATTCCATAGAGTTAGTGTTGGAAAACACTTTAGTGAACCTCTTCTTTCTGAGTGATTGTAGCCAGGTTATTCTCTTGGGATATATTTTGGGATAATTAGAGTTTTATTTCTGGTTTTGTACTCTCTTTTGTGTGCCAGCTGTTATAGAGAAATTGCTCCTCTCCGCTTGTGGACGCAGGTCATCTTAACCGAACCACGTTAAATTTTGTGCCTTATTTATTTTATTTAATTGCTGTTATTATCAACTTGTATTAACTTTATTATTATCATTATAATATTGTTTAGCTAAACTCCGTACTATTTGGGTTCCCGATCCTTACATTTATGCTGGATTCCTTAGAGTTCAGATTCATAAAAGCAAAATACTACCATATTAGATTCAAAATTGTTTCACATGTTGGCTCTCTTTTCTATTAGCTGAAACTTAACGTATCAAAATGCATTGATCTAAGCCTTTTAATTAGGTTTGTGCGATTCCGTCCTCTTTAGTCTAATTGGTTTGACAAATTTGACCACCAAAAAGCATCTAACTCTTCTAATTTCTTCTACGTGGAGCATTACTAATAGAGCTGTCAAAACGGGCCACTCCAGTCCAAGCCCCGTGGGCTTTTAAATTTGGCGAGCTAAGACGGGCTGGCCCGCTATATAAATGGGGTTTAAAATGGCCAGCCCAACCCAGCCCTAAGAGGGCCACAGGCTGGGGCGGACCGGCCTTCAACTTTTTTTAGAAAAAAGAATTTCTTTAAATTCTTAAATATTTTTTCGTGACGTAGTCGATTAATCATATAAACAACTTCTGTTTGCTTAGATCGTACATAAAGCTTGATATTTGACGAGGAATCTCGTAATTGAAATGTAAATTCTCTATATCTCTAGCTCTTCTTTTCAAAGTTACATGAATATTTTCTTAATACTTTTCTTTCATTATTCTCAAATTCAGAGATTGATTCAATAAGTGTATATGCTGAGGTTTTCTAATTTAGGATTAACATCATTTGTCGATTTCATCATTATAATCCATAAAAATTTTAAAATTCCTGAAATTTGCTAGTGGTCAAATTTTTTTGTATGTATTTAAAATTGATATTTTTCTATACTGAAGAGCTATTCAAATATTAATAGTATATTAAAAGTAATTCAAACTAATAATTGGCCGCTCAAAACAATATTTTCTTTTGAAAAAATATTATTGTTGACCACCTAAAACTTTTTGAGTTCGTTATTAATTAAGCAAAAGAAGAACTATTGTCATATTACATGCATGTCAAAAATCTAAATTCTAGTTGATATGGAAGGGTAAATGAGCAATCTAGGGTTAGGAAATGGAGATTATAATTAATAGTTTTTTAGTTTTTATTTTTTTAAAATATTTAATAGTTAATTAATTTGAATTTAACTAATTTTTGCCCGTGGGCAGGCCTAAGCCCAGCCTCGATCAAACCTCAAGGGCCAGCAGACTGACTTGGGCCGGGCTTATAAGCCTCAATTTTAAATTGGTTCAAAAATCTTAATCAACCCTAACCAAATAGCGGGCTGGATTGGACTGGCCCCATGGGCGAAGCCCCTTTTTACGACTCTAATTACTAATCTCCAACCTCAACTAGACTCTTGTTTGTTCTCCACGCTCCATTTATTTTGGCCAGCTCGATGATCCTAATTATTAAAGGGAATCTACAAACTTAAGTCGACCACACTTTGTTGCCGACTGCTAGATTTTTTTATTTTTGTTAATTTGGCTAGTCTTATTTGAAATACAGAACAAAGCCAACTCATATTTGGTCTTCTATCCTCTAGAGTATTTTACGGTTCTGTCCTTCCCAATTTTGTGATTTGTTCCACGAATTACTTGTGACAGAGACACACAAATCGACAGCATTTTTTTTTGTATACAATTATTTCCCGTATCATTCTTTTACAGCAAGACTTATGAAATAAGTATATAATTTCTAGTAATAACTGCCATACCATTAAATATTGAATTTGGCTAACCAATACCTTCTCAAGCCTTAAAGGTAAATAACTTTTTACTGAATTGTAAGCATAACTTTCTAACTATTGACAGTGAGTTGTCAACCTAAAACTTCTCACTTGATGATGGCTTAAGTTCAATCTTGGTTCTTCTTCTCTCTTTCTTTTAGGCAGAGACAAGGTAGATATTGCTTTGGCAGACACCACCTTTCTAACAAGTGATTTCCACAGTGCATCATCACCCCTTTGTTGCAATTTCAGTTCGAATTGTCTGTAATGGGGAAAAACTGGATCTATTAATATATTCACCGATTATCAACTACATAACAAAAGAAAGAATGATCATTGTACCAGTTCAAGAAATAGACCCTACTCATAAAGAAGGCAAATAAAGTTATTTTGAAGCTGATATTTTTGTGACCCTTTCGACTTTGTCCAATCTACGTGTTAAAAGGTTATTAGTCTGTGAAGATATTTTCTCTAAGACGAACAGGATAAATAGAGACATTTCAACTAGAAAAAATCCAATGGAATATGTCAAAAAGGTCATGAAGCCCTGCTGCTTTCTAAGATTAATTTTGGATGGGTCGTTCTCAATTAAGAATTCACAACCTCAACGATCAGCATTAAGAAATCACAGTGAAATTTGAAATAAATTTCATGATTAGACATGACATTGAGCAAAATCATGACGTCAACCAATACTTTTGCACTTAAGCCACAATAGTATATGGTGGTATGGCACTGATAAACATTCCTAGGAATGACTATATCATAAATAGAAGAATCAATTGTTACGGACGAAGTAAAAATATCTGAGGAACTAAAGAAGAAATGAACAAGTCAACAACAGCAAAGTGATCAGTACAAGAATAGATCTATAAACTAGTTAGTAGTGATTACCTGCAAAGAGGAACTCGACAATGTTGAGGTTGGTCACAAACAGATGCGTGTAATCTTAGGAGCTGCCACATCCGCTTGCATCTCAAACAACCTCCATTCGCCCTTGTCTTACAGTTAGCAAAATGTCGGATCAGAAGCTGGAGGCCTTGGCATGTATCAAAATTGCTACATGGAAGCCTCTCATGGCTAGATTCCATGTCATAAGGCCCCACGCTTGTACATCCTTCGGTGCATATGTGCTCCAAACAAACCATCGCTTCACTTAGTTGTAAATATAAGCTCTGCTCACGCCTGTGTCTTCTCCTCCTCTTCTTCCGCTAAAATGATAAATTACCAATGAAAATCACTAATCACATCAATTAATGATAAAGAAATGCAAACAAATGCCATGTCAAGATCGCATGACAGCGCGCTTATTCCTATTGTTCCACAATCAATTGACAAACTTCAATATTCCATTGAGAATTCCAGGGTCCAAATTCGAGATAGACTTAAAATCACAATTGTCAATGAGCTACATGCAGGGGTATATGCCAATGATTTTGTAGTTACTAGCTACGTACCGAATCAGCCTCATCCATGAACCGTAGAATTTCAAGCTCAAGACAAGGATCATGATCTTGAAGGAACTTCCAGCCCTCAGTCTCCTCAACTTTCCTGAAATTGCTTGACAAAAATTTCATGCACTTGAGGTAGAGATCAGGTGCATCACATAGCCTTGCTAGTTGAAGCACATCCACTGCATTTTCAGTCGTCAATCGCTCGGCCATTCCCTTAGTGCATCTCTGCTTCAGCTGTGGTACCAAGTACACATGAGAAAGTGCTAGCAGATGAATCCCATGTTTCTCTATCTGCTCCTCAGTGCACCTGAACACAATGATAACATGGTCGTTTTAGACATCCATATGTTTTATTTATGTGTGTTTAATAGAAAATATTATATGCATACTGACGGAAACCTTTACATTTACTTAAAAGACAACAATAAGTAATTATTAAATGTAAGTACATCGCAGTAATATGTTACTATGATAATACCAAAAATCTTTCTATTACTAGTGTATAGGATGAAAATCCTCTTTAAAATTTTTGTTGTACACTCCAATAACACCGGAAGACGCGGTGTAGCCGGTGCTGGACAGAGTACTAATAAAAATTAAAGAAATATGTATGATTAAAGAATGTAAGAGGCAGTCAATGAGCCACTTGTAAGACAATTAAGATATGGGCGGCCAAATTTTGCTTTGAGGCCCAATTACCTATCTTCTAACAAGGAATAAACAAAGATTTAGCCCCCGTTTGACCATAAAATTGGGAGCTTTTTTTATAAATTTTGTTTTTAAATATTTGTTTATTGATTTTAATCATTTTGGTAGATTTTTAAAACAAAATCTTCAAGTCCCATAAACAGCTCTAGAGTAGTTTTTGAAGTTTTCTATTCACAAAATTTCAAATTCTTTTCAAGTAAACTGCATTTTCGAACACAATTTCAACTTTCATAAATTATTTTTTATCTTATCTTCAAAAACTCATTTTTTCAAGTTTCAACCATTATCTACTACAAACGCTAGCTTAATCCCAAATGAATCTACTTCCTGTCATATTCAGTATATTCAATTCCAACAAATCAGGGTTGGACTTTGACAAATGACAAGACTAACATGTCATGAAAACCGACAAAATTTTAAAATAAATAAACAAAGAAAACAAACGGATTTGCATGTATTTGAAAACTCACTTGAAGAAATAGAGAAATCGGACGAAAACGGAAACGGCGTCGCAGGGAACGCCGAGAACCCGTATCGTTTTCTCAGAGCTCCTCCGCTTTTGCGGTCGAACTAGTATGCTCTCCAGCACCGTCGACGCAGCAGCCTACAATAATGTTTCGTAGAGATCAGTACTTTCAAATTGCAAAATAGAGTGATTTTGGAAATTAACTTTTGGATTAATTCACATTTGAAGAATTGGATTTTTCCTAGGACCCACTCCCAGTTTTGACATGGAAGTAGATGGTCTTTTTCATGTTAGCCAAGAAGCATTCCCATTTTTTTTTCTTTTTAGGAAAATGAAGAATTAATCGATTCATACCTACTTGGCAGAATAGCCTAAATGACATTTATACTTGTGCCACTTTGTCATGCCGGTCCCCAAACTTATTATTTTGCCAATTGAACACTTATACTAGTTCAAATCGTATATTCTAAATCCTTTGACCATTGACCGAGCTTATGTGGCATTGACATATCTGAGGTGGACAAATTATGTGTAACACACGCATGTGAAGAGAGTGATACTAGTGATTTTTTTATTAAAAATGAATTAAACTAAAATCAGGCACAAAATTGGGCCGAAAATCCCACCTTTCTTCTCGCCCTTAATTCATCTTTCCCCTCCGCACTACTGTAAACAATGGATGAGCCTTCAAAGGCTTGTTTTGGTTATTGTTGCTGTGTTTCACTATTTGAATCTTTCTTCGGATTTTGAAAAGGAGATTCAAAGGCTTGTTTGTTGAGAATTTTCGAAATTCCATTGCAGGTCTTGCGAAGAACAAATCTAGTGTTTGAAATCTAGTACTAAAACTCAGCTGGGTATTGAAATTAAGACTTGAAAATGCGATAAACATTTGTGTTTGAGGATCTAAACCGGAGGGACAAGCAGAGACGCCATTAAAGCTCGCTTGAAGCTTCTGGGTATGTATGGTTCGAAGATTTCAATTTTAAGGCTCTCTATGTTTCTGATTCCCCCTCTTTGGTCCATCTCTATGAGGCATCTCGTCGCCCTTGTGGGATTATGTCTAAAGCCCAATGCAGCTTAGTTGTGGACTGTGGATTTTCATTACTCATGCCTCACCCGTGTTTCACAATTTCACATTGAATTACGGAGTGAAAAGGCTTGATCTTGGTGGGAAAGCTTTGAGCACTTTCATGAGGATTAGTGAGTTTACTGGAGCGTTAATTTGATGGACGAGAATTTCCTTATGGATGATGTAAAAGAGAAACTCTGCTTTGTGTTGCTATAGACTTGCAGATTCCTAGGGTTTTCTAAAAGATCCTATTTTTAGATAGTCTATTTTCCTATGTGGCACTAGTAATGACGTGGTATCCTACGTGTAGGAGATTGTATTACACGCACTGGTAACCTCATGTCATAAGTGTTTATTATATACGATTTGAACTAGTATAAGTGTTCAATTGGCAAAGTGATAAGTTTGGGGATCGGCATGACAAAGTGGCACAAATATAAGTGTCATTTAGGCTATTCTGCCTACCTACTTCACAAAAGTGCTACTCCCTAGTTCTAATTTCTAACACTATTTCCTTATTAATCTCTTTAAAAGAGAATGAAACATACCCATATTTAGAAACAATTTAAACCTTTTATTATCACACAAATGTTGAGACATGTAAAATAATACTCCCTCCGTTTCATATTAAATGAGGTAGTTTGACTCGGCACAAGTTTAAGAAAAGAGGGAAAGACTTTTGAACTTGTGGTGCAAAATGAAGCACATATATTTTGTGTGGCTATAAATCATTGCATAAAGGTAAATTGTTTCCAAATAGGGTAAGAGGTCATTCTTTTTGGCACAGACTAAAAAGGAAATATGTTCATATAAATTGAAACGGATGGAGTAAGACTTTTGAAACTTGTGGTCTTAAAGTAAAAAGTTTGTGGGGCCATGACATTTGTGTACTTCTCATTATGGGTAAATGGGTAAAATGAAAGAGTTTGAAGTTGAATTAATTCCAAATTTAGAAATGTGTCATTTGTTGGAACAGACTAAAAAGAAAAGTATCCCATTTAATATGAAGGAAACGGAGGGAGTAGGATTTTCAAAAGTGTCTTTTAAAATTCATACCAAGTCAACTATATATGTAAATCAAAATGGAGAGAGTTATGAATTGTTACATAGAAGGAATGAAAGGAGAAAGGCAAAGAGAAGCTATGGTCAGCATTACCAGAATGGTGGAATGTGCCGGTATGCGGACGCCGCCGGAGGTGATGATCTGGACATCGGCTTCAACTATTTCATTTTCACCGTAAAGTCCCTTGACATCGCTAGCAAAGTAATTATTCGGTGACATGATGACAGAGTTATTGGAGTTGAGTTTGGTTTTTGATCAATTGATCTGCGTAAGACAGAGTGAATAATGATTTCAGAGAGTACTCTTTATGTGTACTTAGATTTTGGTGAGAGCATTTTGGCACCGTTCCTGTATTTATAAGCAACTGAGCTGCTGCCGACCAAAAAGTCATAGGGCGGCACAACATAGCATGAAAGAAACAACTTGGAACCACAAAATAAATTTATATAAAGCATGATATTTAAATATAGCCCCTACCATATTACTATTATTTTTTTCTGAATTTCCTTTTTTTTTCCTGTAAATATAAGCGTGGATTAGTTTAATCCACAGTGATTCACGCCTGCATATGGGTAACTTTGTCAGCTACAGAAAAATATCTACTAGTGTTTTTCGCTTAGATTTTTTTGATTCTCTTTGCACTTATTGACCAAACAAATATAGAATTATTTGTCTTAATTAATTTATATGAAAAGTTATTGTGCTTACTGCTTACCATTTTCCTTGAGAAACTTATCCAAATTTCATACTCCTTTTTTTCTTCAAAATTAAATGAATATGAAGTATCAGGGCCAAATTATTTAATTTTTGAATCTTAATTCAGAGATTAATTTCTTATTTTTCTTAAAGTAAGATGTTTACATTTAGAAATTATACAAAAAATACTATAAGTCCAGATTTTTTCTAATAAAAAATTCATAAAAATAGTTACATGCCGAAAAAGTTAATTTGACTTCTAATTATTAGTGATGTTATGAAAAGTGTATAGTATATAGATGGATCTTTTTAATTAATGGTAGTAAGAATACATTAAAATAACAGCCAAAGAGTCAAGTTAATATAAAGTATTAAATATCACATCAAAATTGAAAGCTAAATACTTAAGTGAATTTGAACTTTAAGAAATTGTTAAAATTATATAGAGTATTGCTATTAATGGAATTGTGTTGAATATCTACAAATGTAATTTTTCAAGATCTATAAATATCTGAAAATTAAAAAGGTGTCATATAAAATAAATAGGAAACCAATATTTTTTATAAAAAAAATGTGATTTTTTATTGAATCGAGATTGGTTCCACCATTCACGGATTTTTATTTCTGGGTCCATGTTAATTGTGGATAAACCACCACGTCAACAACAAGTAAGACCAACAAGCTGACATGTCATCCTAATCTTTCTCCTAAAGTAGTTGGCATTAGACTGTGTTTTACTCAAAATATACTAATTACTTTGTAAGCGAAAACAATCAAAATGAATCAAAGGTAAATCGTAATCGAATATAATTAGACCTAGAAATATGTATTATGCTTCTGATTGTTTCAACAACTTGGATATTCGAGAGAGTAAGAGAAAGCTTGTTTAGAGAGAGAGAGAAAAATAGAAAGAAAAAAAGATAGCTTATTATTGAAAGATCTCTCCCCTTTACAACAGTGGGATTCTCCTTAATATAACAAGAGAACCCCCTCAAAAATAATAAAATAATACAGGGATAGGTCACGTGCTTTCGAGGAGACGACGAGACCTAAGGGCACGCTTTCGCTCTGACATTCTTAGGTCGTCCCCTCTACTTCGGCTATTGCTTAGTCGTGGGTCGTTGCTACCATAGTGGGCAGAATTCGACCCCATACAGATAGTCCCTCCGTTCGTTGGTGACGTAACGAAGTGCGTCGCCGATGGACGGAACCATGATCCTTGTACTAGGAAAATTTTGACCATATTTGGAGACGACGACGTGAGGGGGGCGATCATTTGAATTTGTTGATCTATTGGCGCGCAATCCCTTCCCTGAGATGACGTCACCATATGCAGGCGTCATCATTACGCGTGTTCCCGAGGAAGTACAAAAGGTGTTCTGATGCTTGGTTTCCCGCGCCTGTTTGGGGTTTTGCCTCTTCGATTTCAACGCTACCCTAACCCTATAAATAGGGAAAGGGTTCAAATTAATCTAACTTTAGATCATCTGCAAACGTTTTCCAACTATTTCAAGAGCTTCCTTTTTACGAAAAATCACCGCTTCCCTGAAAGTACACTTGTGGTTGCGTAGTACATCACTCCTTAATCGGAAACCATGACAAAACCTAAACGGGATAACGCTCCGGGGGCTCGTAATAATAAATCATCTGACATACCGCCTCCATCCGGCGGTAATAAGGGAGAGAAAGAGGAGGATCTCACCCCTCTTACCGTAGGTAACGTGCTCCCGAAGCAACTCCTTATTAGGAGGGACTTTCAACGGGATTCTCCCGAACAACCTTGGGAGAAATCTGAGTTAAAACAAACTGATTTAGATACTCTTCGTGCGTCGTATGATATACCCGCTCACGTGGAGATGGTTTTAGCAGGAGCGGACTACGCGAACACCCATAGACCGGGATATTGTGCGTTTTATGAATATCCCTTTTTGATGAGCTACGGCCTCGCCATTTTTCCATTGGCGGAAGAACTCTGCCGTTACTACAACATGTGTCCCGCCCAACTTACTCCGTATACCCTAAAGGTATGTAGGGTAATGTCTACATACGCGGAGTTGGTCGGGCTGGAGGTCTCCGCCCACCACCTATTGCAGCTATTCAACACCAGCTACCTGAGGGGCACCATGCTGCATCTAAAGAATCGTGGCTCGAAGGGGTTGGTTGTGCAAACCGATGATCGGGCTAACCGGGGCTGTTGGCATAGATACTTCTTTATCAAGACGGAGCACCTGGTGTCTATCCCTGTCGGATTCCCTGAGAGGTGGAATTCGAGACGTAAGTATTACTATCCGTCGAGTCGTTTATAGTACGTGACTTTAGCGGTTCCGATTATACCATCCTTATGATTTTTCTGTTATTTTGCAGCAATAGCTCACGTCCCCCGGTTCATAACCGATATTAAGCAGTGGGTGTCCGGTTTGCTGCCTCTCGCGGAAGAGACCCGTACTTGGGCTGAATTCATTGAACGTTACGGTCACGCGAGCCCTTCAGGTATTTCTTCGATTTTAATTAGTCGCTTTCACAAACTTCGTCAGCTAAATCACTTTTGTTGCCAGGTCGAAGTGCTCATAAGAGGAGGGCGACGGCATCCGCCTCCTCCCGATTAGATGTTGGTCAGAATACGCAGGAAGTACTTTGTGCTTCTGTCAGGGAAGGGGTAACCGTAGCCTCTTTACAAGAGGCTGCTCCTGCGGAGGTGGCTACAAATGAGGCGAGGCCGTCGACATTGTCTCCGCAACCTGCGGATGAGCCTTCCGAGGGCGAGGAGCCTGAGGAGAGAAAAAGGAGGAGGCTCGTGATGGGTAAGGCGGTGGCGACTGGAGATGAAGAGGGTGACGTGCCTCGCCAAACAACTAGGCCCGTCTTTATGGCCGACGCCATGCGTTCGGGGAGGTCGGCCAACCAGATAAGTGCTAATGTTGGCACCAGCTCGGCTCGTGTTGCCGAGGGTAGCTCATCGCCCCTTGTTGGTGGCGACGCTGGGGGACCAACTGCTGAGGCCGCTGATGATAGGCTATAATTACGTATTTTAGTCGATTATTACACTCTAATTTACAGCACTTTAATTGAGTTTGAGCTTTAATCGCTAGTGTTTTGCACTAATTGTATGTTTTATGCCTTGTAGGAGTGATTCCGAGCTATATAGATGTTATGTAATGAATTCAAGTGATTTGGAGCTTTAAAGTTTGAGTAAAAGTTCAAGGAATTAAGCCGGGATCGTGTTTGGGGGTCAACGGATGATAGTTAGAGCGAACGAAGACTCCAGTAGGCAGATTGCGCACTGTCTAGTAAAATAGACATAACTTTTAGCTCAAAACTCCATTTTGGCTCTACAATATATGGTTTGAAATCTGACTCAAAGGGCTACAACTTTCATGTTTTATGTTTTTCCAAATTCGGAACGGAACAGGGTGAAAAGTGCGCGCCCAGATGCGCGGCCGCGCTAGTTTTAGCGCGCCCAGAAACAGAAAGTCAGCCAATTAGAGCGCCCAGATGCGCGGTCAAATGCGCTACAGCGCTAGTTAAGCCCGGGAAAAGTGTCATTTTTTACATTGGAGAAGGTATAATTGTTTGGGCCTAACCCTACTTGGTATATATACATAGGAGAACATTTTTGAGAGCAATTCTTGACCAAGGAAGAGCACAGAGCCGCCGTGGAGGCCGGGTTTCATCTTTTCTTCCACCAACTTAGTCTTTTTATGTTTCTTTTATGATTTGTTGTTTTGCTACCATGTCTATGTGGAGCTAAACTTCACGTTCTAGGGTTGTGGTTCTTTCATGACTATTGCTATTCGGATATTGATTTTGATTTCTTAGTTTACCATATTGGTTTATTTATTCAATCCTGCACTTAATTATTTGATTGCTTGATCACCAATTGAATACTATCTACGAATCTAGAGTTGAACTCGAAAGTTGGAATTCTAGATTGCATATAGGATTGAGTAGAGCAAGTTCTTGAACCCCGGGCTCGGGGAACGGATTCGCGGTTAGGATAGACATATACCTAATTGCCTTGCTTGGTTGATTTACAGGAATTATAAATGCGTTCTTGTTGATTCTAATTCCATAGACATATAGGCGTTAGGTTAGCTTGAATAGGCGAGTAAGAACTCGACAGATTCTTATGAGCAATATTAACCCTGTCAACCAATAAACTAGATAAATTGGTTAGTCAATTCAATTGAAGAATAGAATAGGAATGTTAGATAGCCCATAACCCTAGATCGTTTTCATTACATTGATATCATAAAAATCTGCTCTTTCCTCTGTTTAAAGTTCATTATTTGTTTTTATTTATTTTAATTAGTTTAGAATCAAATACTTCTTGGTTTAATTCTTGTATAGATAATTAGGATAGTCTAATTTAGTTAATAGTTGATCATAAGTCCTCGTGGGTTCGACATCCGACTTTTAGTCACTTTATTACTTGACGACCGCGTATACTTGCGTGTGCGTTTGGCCGCAATAGCCGCCCACGAGAATGTGGATGAGATGGTGGAAAACTCTGCACGCGTGGAGATGACAGCAGACGGATCTGGCCGCCGCATCGTGATTCCAGGGGCTTACAACTTGTTACAGCACAGCGAGCGGGCTGCACTGGAGATGGCCCTATTGTGTGCTGCCCCTGAGCGCGAGATGCTGCGCGTTGTCAGCGATGCGGAGCTGTCACGGAGGGTCGCTGGTATGGCGTTACAAGTAACTTCTCTGTTCT